ATAGAGGGATAGATGATTGATAGACAGGTAGATATGGATAGGGACAGAGGCAGAGGGGGAGACCAGGTGACAATACCACACCTCTGCTCTCCTCGGGGACAGCGTCTTTCTTAAGAACAAGGACTGTTGTGAGGTAATCACAGCGCAGTTTCCAAAATGGGTCAGTGCCTAATCCACACAGGGCTATTGCGTAATTCACACTCACATTCAAATGTCGCCCATCGCCCTGCAGGCCAGGCTCAGGTCCAGGCCGCCTACATTCTTAGCTGCCATCTCTCTTTAGTCTCCTTCACGCTGCCTTTGTCTTTCATGATCTTTTTTTAAAGAGTACAGGCGAATTGTTAATTAGGATGTCCCTTAGTCTAATTTAGTCCATTAAATCATGTTTTCCTCACCTCCCTGCCTCTTAAAGGCACCCACATTCCTTGGCTTGTGGCCCCTTCCTCATCTTCAAAGTCAGCTCTGCGGTTTCTTTAAATCTTCTCTCTCTGCTTCTTCTGCCTCCCTCTCGCCTTGTACTATAGAAGTACAATTAAACGGAGCCCATCCAGATAAACCAGAACAACCTCCCTATTTTAAATACATATATATATATATATATATATATATATATATATATATATATATATATATATATATTGAGTTTTTTACAAAGAGGAAGGGAGAGGGACACAGAAAGCTAGAAACATGGATGAGAGAGAAACATCGACCAGCTGTCCCCTGCACAGCCCCCACTGGGGATGTGCCTGCAACCAATGTACATATCCTTGACTGGAATCGAACCTGGGCCCCTTCAGTCCGCAGGCCGACGCTCTATCCACTGAGCCGCACCGGTTTTGGCACGACCTCCCTAGTTTAAGGTCTTTAACACAAACAACCGTGTGGTGATTTCCAGGGCAGGGGTGACTCGGAGGAGAGTATTGGGGAGATGCATGGAGATTTGACTTGGGGGGGTGAACACAGCGCAGTGTACAGGTGATGCGTTACACCATCGTGCACCTGAAACTGTATAATTTTGTTGACCAGTGTCATCCCAATAAATTCATTTTTAAAAATCCTTAATTTAATCACACCTGCAAAGTTCTCTGACATGTAGGGTAACATGTTCCCAGATCCTGAGGGCGAGGATGGGCATCTTTGGAGGGTCCTTCCGTCTTTCGCATGCTTGTTCCCCTCAGGGGATCCGGCTGGAGGCAGGGGACTGAGGAGCAATGTGACTTGGATACTTGGTTATGGTTGTCTTTGCCAGGGTCACTCACAATAGGTGTGACCTACTTTTTTACTTTTGTGATTAATAGTCACTGTGAGGGCGCTACTCTGAAACTCCGAACTGTTCCTGGCCCCCACCAGATTTGGTCTCCGTTGACGATGACTGCGGACTCCGTTTTCATGGAGAATCTGGGGAAGAAATTCTCCATTCTCTCCGGTGACCGCTCAGCATTTAACTCAAGGGAGAGCTTTGACTTCTCCTCCACTGACTTATTTCTTTATCTCACGAATGTCCTCATCGACTCTTACCTCATCCCGTGAGCATTCTTAAAATGGTTTGTCTGTGTGTCCACATGTCCCAGATCCAGGCAGGCTGGCGCCCGTGCCCTTTGGACAAGTCCCGTCATTTCTTCGCACCTGCTCTCTGCCGTCAGGTGGCCCAGGCTCGCCTGGTGCCTGTCCTGGCGGCCCTGCCATCAGTCACGTCCCCAGCGTTTCCTCCCATTTGCGGGGGACGGCGTGCGGAAACCAAGGCCGTGGTGCTGGGTGTGCTCGCTCCTCTTGGGCTTCGAGGCCCGGTCAGGGGCCGGAGCTCCCAAATAAAACCACCGGAGTGTAACCAGCGCACAGCTACCTCTGTCTCTCTCTCTCTATTTATCTACAATACAACCTGAGAGTTGGGGCTGATCTCTTTCATTCCAATTCAGGGTTCATTCTAGCCTCTGTCTTCCCACATTCACAACGCGTTGCTCTGATGGCGAGACTCTAACTTCAGTTACCGTCCGTGTGTTTCCTTTGGCTCATTCCCACAAACCGCAGGAAAGATGGCCGGGCTGCTCTCCGAGGCCATGCAGGAAGCAGAGGTTGCTCTCTGCAGTCCTCTTGTTGACAGATGAGGATGGACAGGCGGGCCGAGTAGGTTTTTAGGTGTGAGTACGCCGAACAGAGTTGATTCTTGCCTTGTTATGTATGGACTAGAGGACAGGTGCACGGCATTCGTTCACCGGTGAGGGGTGGGGAGTGTCCCTCAGCCTGGCCTGTTCCCTCTCACCATCCAGAATCCCTCTCCCCATCCGGGACCCCTCACTCCTTACCACCCACCCGCTCGCTGCTCCTTAGCGCTGCCTCGGAGGCGGGAGAGGCTCCCTCCACCACCACTGCGCTCACCTGTGGGAGCACACTGACCACCCGGGGGCAGCTCCTGCATTGAGCGTCTGCCCCCTGGTGGTCAGTGCACATCATAGCGACCTGTCGTTTCGCCTGTTGTTCGATTGATTTGCATATTGTTGTTATTATATAGGATTATTGTATTACTTTCCATCTGAACATCTCTAAACATACTTTGGCCCCACCCTGTATAGCCCAAGCCCTGTGTCCGAAAGCCCCTATTTGTGTGCTTCCATGACTCACTGGGAATACGGTTTGTTTCTGCGTGTTCTTCATCATCTAATACAGTATATGATGAATTTTTTTAGTATACAAAAGACGAGAGTGGCTCCAAAATCAAATTTATATAAAAAGATAAACTCAAAGCGGTGTTGCCCTCCACTCTTCCCCACCCCCCCTGTAAATACCAATAACTCAGCCGTGCTTCTCTCTCTCTCTCTCTCTCTCTCTCTCTCTCTCTCTCTCTCTCTCTCTCAAAAAGAAAAGGGAATAAAAGGAGATGCATCAAATTTTTCTTTTTCCCCTCTTATTTCTTCTGCAAAAGGCAGCATTCTGCACCCACTGTTCGGCACTTGTCACTTGTCACTGACTGTAGATCTGGCAGACACACCAGAAGTTCATGGAGTTCCATCCTGTTCTACGATTTTTTCTATCCTCACCTGATGCTACCCTTTCCACTGCTTTTCAGAAGGAGGGATAGGGGAGGGAGGAGGAGAAACATCGATGTGAGAGAGATAGACACATTGACTGGCTGCCTCCAGCATGCACCCTGACAGCACCCCAACCAGGGGCAGGGAGCCAACCGCACCCCAGGCATGTGCCCCTGACCTGGAATTGAACTTGAGACCCTTCGGTGCGTTGGCCGGCGTCCTGACCACTGAGCCTCCTCCGGATCGAGGCCGTTTTGTTTTTAAAGCTCACACTCCCCGGGGCGTCCGTGACCCAGGATGCCCACTCCTCTGCCCAGCGTCATCTGCAGCTCCCTGTCCTCCCACAGCTTCCCTTCTTCCCACCGGGAAGCCCCAGTGCACCCACTGCCCGCGTGCCCTCCTCCCTCCAGTCTGGGCTGCCGGTCTGACCCCCTCACTGTGTCCCGGGGCCCGCTACTGCGTCTGCGGGGTCCCTGCCTCCAGCCCCACACTCAGGCCCCGGGAGAAGCCCTGTGCGTCCTGCCTCCTGCAGAGAGGCCTCCTCCCTCCCTCAGTCAGGAGCCCCGTGGCCTTCAGCCGGGGTCCTGAGGCGCCTCTGGCCTGGAGCTGGGGCTCCCCCCTCCTCGTCCTGCCCCCGCCCCGCCCAGTCTTTTCCTGGCGGAGCTCTCTGGGGTTCCCAAGTTTTGTCTCAGTTTCTTCACCTGCAAAGTGGGTTGGCGATAGGGTTTGTGCCACAGACCGCTGCACAGAGCAAAGAAAATGCCCTGGCACTTACCCGGTGCCAGGGAGCTGATACCTGCAGAGACTGGCTGCTGACCTTCAGAGCTCCCCCCCTCCCCCTCCCCCCAGCCGCCAGGAGAGAGGCCTCCAGCCGTGCACCCTGCAGGGGACCGTGTGGTCTGGGGGTCCGCCCTCAGCCTGGCCCCCTCAGTCGGGGGCGGGTACAGAGAGGCCTCCGGCCGTGCACCCTGCAGGGGACCGTGTGGTCTGGGGGTCCGCCCTCAGCCTGGCCCCCTCAGTCGGGGGCGGGTACAGGCAGTCCAGCTGGCCCGGGCTGGGGTGCAGCTCTGCTCCCCGCTTCCCAGCCGCGTCCCCTCCCCTTCGCTTGAGGCCCTGGGAACATGTCCTCGGTTTTGCTCTGCTCTTTCCCTCATTCTCCTTCCCTCCCCACCCCCCATACAGACTCCAATATATGGGCCGTGAGCCTTCCCAGCCCTCCTCCCGGAGGTCAGTGTGCTGTGTAGAGAAACGCAGGCCTGCTCCCGCAGATTCACAGAAGAGGCTTCACACACTCGGCCTCCGGCCTTTGGCCCCTCAGCACCCAGGCTGACCGGCGCGGCCCGCCCACTGTGGGTGCTCCCTCACCCATGGGGGCTGGAGGGAGGGAGTCCTGAGACCCAGCACCGGCCGCTCCCGGCCCGCCCCTGTCACCTGGGAACACAGGGGACCTCTCTTTGGGTGCTCCATGTCCCGCTGCCCCAGGCACAGGATGCGGGCAATGCTCTTGGAGGCCTTCCCTGCTGTGCCAGCCAGCTGGACGTGGGCACCCAGGCCCGACGCGCACGGCGTTGCGAAGGCGACACGGAGGAGCGAGGAGCGCTTGGCCCAGTGGAGCCCGCGGGGCCGCCCCCGGCCGCCCGGGGCAGCGGTGCTTGCGGGGCGGAGGTCAGGCCGCAGCTGGTCCCCTTTCCCGGGCGCAGCCGCCGGGGACCTGGGCCGCGATCCCGTGACCCGGTGCGGGGCCGGCTGCGGGGGCGGCGCCCCTGGAGGAGGGGGTGTCCCAGCCCGGGCCTCATTGGCTGGGGCGCCGGGACCAGCCCAGGACCGGTCACCAGCCCAGGACCGGCCCAGGGGCGGCCCCCGCGGAGCTCACATCTGGCGGCCCGGCCGCCGCACAGACCCGCGCACTCCTCCTCCGGCGCCCGACACCGGCCCCGGCCCCGGCCCCGGCCCCCCACTCGGACCGCGCCGCCGCCATGAGCTGCTTCGAGGAGGAGGGCGGCTGGAGCCTGTCCTTCAGCGGCGCCGCCTTCCTGGGCCTCTACCACGTGGGCGCCACGCAATGCCTGCGGGAGCGCGCCCCGCGCCTCCTCCGGGGCGCCCGCCGCATCTACGGCTCCTCCGTGGGCGCGCTCAACGCCGTCTGCGTCGTCATGGGCCAGTCCGTCGGTGCGTCTGGGAGGGGGCCCCGGGGTCTCCCAGCCTCCCCGAAGCTGACCCGGATGGAGGGGAGCAGGGGCGGAGGGAGGGGTGTCCCAGGGTCCGGGCGTCCTGCCCAGCGGTCCCTCCGACCAGCGGCCCCTCCGCCCAGCGCGCTCGCTCCGGGGTGATCCTTCTGAGAACCTGGGCACGGGGACCAGGGCTCCCCTTTCCACAGGGGCGGGGTGCCAGGCTCAGAGCCGGGAGGATGCTCTCAGGGTCCCTCTGTCCAAAAGGTGGGACTGAGCGTCTGAACGCAGGGCGGGGCACAGACATTCTGAGCTGAAGAGGGGCACTCCCTGGCGCCCAGGAGGGAAGCCAGCCTTCCAGCTGGCATGGCGGGCGCCCAGTGGCTCAGGCCCTGTCCTCCCAACCCCCCCCCCCCCATGGCTCAGGCTCTGCCCCCCCCACCCCCCCATGGCTCAGGCCCTGTCCCCCCCACCCCCCCCATGGCTCAGGCCCTGTCCCCGTCCCCCCCCCATGGCTCAGGCCCTGTCCTCCCAACACCCCCCCCCCCATGGCTCAGGCCCTGTCCCCCCCACCCCCCCCCCCCCATGGCTCAAGCTCTGTCCCCGCCGGCAGAGTTTTGCTGCGTCCAGCTGCTGGGCCTGGCCAAGCAGGTGGAGCAGCTGAGCCTGGGCGTGTTCCACCCCGCCTTCTCGCCCATCGAGCACATCCGGCGGCAGCTGCAGTCCTTCCTGCCCCCGGACATCCACGTCCTGGCCTCCCGGCAGCTGGGCATCTCCCTGACCCGCTGGCCCGACGGCCACAACGTCATCATCACGGACTTCAACTCCCGGGATGAGGTCATCCAGGTGAGCGGGCGGGGCCCCAGGCGGGGGGCCTCGGGCAGGGGGCCCCGGGCGGGGGGACAGGTGGGGGGACGCCCGCTCCTACCGCAGTGGCTTCATTGGAACCGTTGTCCAAGGATCGCATGTGGAGTGACATCCCTGGCTTCTCAGCCGGAGCGGAGGGGGAGTGGTGCTCCACCCGCCCGTCTGTCCTCCCACAGAGCTCCCAGCAGCAGCCCTGGGGGAAGGGCCTGCTCAGCAGCGAGAGGGCGGACTCTGAGCCGGGCCTGTCCTGCGTTCACGTCCCTTAACTTTGAGGATGAGGCTGGGACGCCCCTGCCCCCTCTCCCCCTTCTTTCCCTGGGACCCCGGGCCAATGACACCACCAGGGGGCTGTCCCGGGGTGGGACGGTGCCCGGAGCTGCTCTGAGGAGCATGAGCACCGTGTGTGTCCGCCGGTTCTTGTCTCCCCAGGCCTTGATCTGCTCCCTGTACATCCCTTTCTACTGTGGGGTGATCCCCCCCGAATTCAGAGGGGAGGTAAGTGGCCGAGGGCCCGCCCTGCGCTCTCCGCCCCAGGCACCTGCCGGGGAGAGCTGCGGCTGGAGGAGGGGTGCTTCTGCGTGCCAGCCTCGCCCCTGCTCCTGGGGTGCTCAGAGAGGGTCCTCCAGAGCACCCCGAGCTATCAGACCTGGTGCCGCGGCGGGTGCTCCTGGCGGCGGGTGCTCCTGGCATGTGGCCGCAGGGGCGTCCTGAGGGCAGCACTGCCGGCCCCCATTGCAGCGCTACATTGACGGGGCTCTGAGCAACAACCTGCCGTTCGCGGACTGCCCCCGCACCGTCACCGTGTCGCCCTTCACCGGGACGGTGGACATCTGCCCCCCCAGCGCCTCTGCCAATATACAGGAGCTGAACGCCTTCAACGCCAGCCTCCAGATCTCCACCCGGAACCTCCTCCTGGGCTTCCTCTGCCTCGCCTCGCCCAGCTCCGAGGTAGGCAGGCCCTGGCGCCAGCCTGGCAGCGGTGAGAGCCTCGGCCCTGCTCGAGGGCCCTGTGCGGGGCTCCGTGCCCCCGACCCTCCCCCCAGAGCCTCAGTCAAGGTCTCGAACCCACAGCCAGAAGCGCCCCCTGAGCGGGTGTGGTGTTAGACTGGCTCCCCTGGTCAGGCTCTGGGTGAAGGCACCGCTATCATCTCCGCTTCTCAGGAAAGGACACCGCAGCTCAGAGAGGTTAAGTGACTTGTTTGAAGTCACACAGCCCAGAAGCTGCAAAGCCAGGTTTCAGATCCTCAGCCAGCGCCCCATGCTTCGTCCTGCTGCCCCAGACTGTGGCCAGGTTGACCAGCTGTGAGGAGGCGAGGCGCACGCTCAGGAACAGACAGCCAGCAGACCCACTTTTCTGCCTTTGCCCCTCAGTATTTCTGGAAAATAGGTGGCTTGACCTCCAACAGGTTTTCATCATAAGGTGTCCCCCACCCAACCAGCCGGCCCTCCGCTGCTCTCCACAGGCTCGGGGTTGGGTAGGGCTCCGTGGCGGGACACAGGGCGTTTTCTCTGACCCTCCAGAGGGGGGCGGGCATCTCAGCCCGGGTCACAGGCAAGGCCACGAGCGCTCAGGAAGGTCGTGTGGCCGTCCTGAGGTCACCCAGCGAGCGGAGGCGGGGCCTGAGGGGCCTCTTCCCCGTCGTGGGGCTCTGACCGAGCTGCTGGGCACGGCCCCAGGGTTCCTCCGCCTCTCAGGCCGGTCCTGGCGATGCAGACCAAAGGCATCCATCCTCCCCTGACTGACGGCACCAGGCACCAGCCCGCCATCCTGGGGCCAGAGAGGGGAGGGCCGGAGCAGGAGCCGCAGCAGGAGAGGGAGTGAGGTCCCAGCTTCCCCCTGCCCAGCACTGAGCCCAGGGGAGAGCGGCTGGGATCACTCCAGTCGAAGACAAGTCTCCAGCCTGAGGCCATCGGCTGGAGGGTGTCTGGGCCCCCCCATCCCACCCTGACCTGTGTGTTGGCAGGTGTTGACCCACTACTGCAGACAAGGCTATCTGGACGCCCTGAGGTTCCTGGAGAGACGCGGTAGGTGCCAGCCTGTGCCAGCCTGTGCCGCGCCCCCTAAGCCAAGGGCGAGCCTAAGAGGGGGTGGCTGAAGGCGTAGGACAGACAGACAAGAGAAGGAAGCTGGGTTGCGGTGGGACGCTGCTTCCTGAGAGACAGCGCCCGCGCCCACAAGCCGTGGCTGTATTTTATGGCCGATGCCACGAGGCAAAGGAGGGGCGTGGTCAGACGTTTATAACATTCTCTGGGGCTTCAATCCTCCTCAACTACACGCACCTGAGCTCTGCCACGCAGGCAGGGGCCCGTGTTCGGACCACAGGGGCAAGCTGACAACCACAGCTGCTGGCCATCCCGGTGCTGGGGGCTCTGCCCTCCAGGCTGGGACCTGCACGTGGCCGGGAGGACTGTGCCCTCTCAGGAGCCCGGGGCTGGACCTGTCCAAATGCTGTGGCCTCGCACCACACTAGCCACTGCAGTAGCTGAGACCAGGCCCCTGTGAGCCCGGACGGATGCTGCCTCTGGGCATGGGAGGTTTTCTGGGTCTTGGCTCACTCTCTCCTCGGCATCTGCTCTGTGTGTGGCTGAGCCGGGTGCGGGGGGCCCAGAGAGGAATGCCACATGTGTCCGCTCTTGAGCTGCCCACGGCCTGGTTCAGGGGGACAGACCCAGAGGGGGACGTCTCCCCAGGGAGACAGGGGTGCTCAGCGCTGAGGGAGCCGAGAGGAGGCACCTGACCCAGCCTGGGGCTGGAGTGGGCACGGAGGGCTTCCTGGAGGCGGGGGCATGTAAGCTGGGTTTTGTCTAGTCGGGGAGATGACGGGGAGGCTGGAGACAGAAAGGAAGAGACATTCTACTCAGATCTCACTCAGGGAGGAGGCGAGCAGGAGCAAAGGAACAGGCCAGCACCTTGAGGGACCTCCACTTAGTGTGGCTGCAGGAATGTGTGTGTGTGTGTGTGTGTGTGTGTGTGTGTACATGGGGCTGTGTGTGTGTGTGTGTACATGGGGCAGTGTGTGTGTGTGTGTGTGTGTGTGTACATGGGGCAGTGTGTGTGTGTGTGTGTACATGGGGCAGTGTGTGTGTGTGTGTACATGGGGCAGTGTGTATGTGTGTGTGTGTATACATGGGGCAGTGTGTGTGTGTGTGTGTGTGTGTGTGTACATGGGGCAGTGTGTGGGCCAGAGGGGGCTTGGATGTGGTCCCACAGGGCAGTGCTCTTCAGAGTGCTAGAGCGGAGGTTCGAACCCAGGTTGTCTGGCCCCCAAACCCACGTCCTCGCTCCCCCACACCGCGGCCCCAAACACACGGCCGTGAGGAGGTTTGCTGAGCACCTACCTCCCCGGGACCCGGGCTAGAGCCCGGTCCCCCCCAGTTCTCAGGAGCCTCACAGCGCAGGCCTTCATTCCCCCCCCCCCCCCCCCAGGGAGGGAAGCCGAGGCCCGAGCGTCAGGTCACAGAGCTGACGGGGGTAAGGCGGGATTTGAACCCCGGACCGGGTCTCCAGGGTCTGAGCTCCGATGAACCACCGGAAAGTGAATGAGAAAAAGTCAAAAAGGAAAAGAGGGCCGAGACCGGTTTGGCTCAATGGGTAGAGCGTCGGCTTGGGGACCGAAGGGACCCGGGTTTGATTCCGGTCAAGGGCATGTACCTTGGTTGCGGGCACATCCCCAGTAAGGGGTGTGCAAGAGGCAGCTGATCGATGACTCTCTCTCATCGATGTTTCTAGCTCTCTATCCCTCTCCTTCCTCTCTGTACAAAATCAATAAAATATATTTTTAAAAAAAAAAGGAAAAGAGGGAGAAGCAAGAAGCAGCGCAGACCTGGGGTGGTGTCTCGGTGAGCCGAGTCCCTCCGCGGCAGGCGCGGCCTCACCGCAGGGTTCGGCCTGAGAGGTGCCGGCAGGGGCGGCGGCGTGGCGAGCCGGGAGCCCGGGTCCCGGGCAGGCTCTGTGTGACCACCACACCCCGCCCCTCCCCGCCAGGTCTCACCCAGGAGCCGGTGCTGTGGACGCTGGTGTCAAAGGAGCCCCCGGCCCCAGCCCCCGGGACCCAGGACACTGGCCAAAGCCGAGGCCAGAGGGCGGGCCTGTCGCTCAACTGGGCAGTGCCCCACGTGCTGGTCAAGGACGTGCCCAACTTCGACCAGCTGTCGCCGGAGCTGGAGGCCGGTACTGCCCGTTCCGACCTGCCCGCCCCCAGGCGCCGGCACCCAGGGCCGCCCTGCGGGGGGCCTGGGCCCTGGGCGCTCCGGTCTGGAAGAGGGAGGGATCTGAGCTCCTGCTAAGTGCCAGGGGTGTCCGGGCTCTTCCGTGTGGTGTCACTCGCTTCTCACTACCCCCGCGGGCCTGCGTGGGGCTTCCTCACCCCGTCTCAGGGATGAGGAAAAAGCTCAGGGCGGGGAAGGGACTCACAAGGCCACAGAGCTGGCAGCCGGGGGATTTGAACCAAGTCTGTGCCTGAGAAAGCCAGGCCCTTGCCCGCTGCCTGGGGGGAGGAAAGGCAGGAGGTACTGAGAGGCACGGGGGTGGGCACATACAGAGAATCTAGACTCATTCCATCATCTCAGCAACCCTCTGAGGACGGCACCGAGTCGTTCCCATTGTACCAAACTGGAAACCACAACACAGAGCAGTTAAGTGACTTGCCCAAGGTCACACAGCCAGCGAATGGCAGAACCAGGAGTCCTGCTTGGTGACCTCGAAGTCCGAGTTGCAATCACAGGTGTCCCGCAGATAGCTGCAAAGGTGCTGGTGGGGTGGGTTAGCATCTAAATGAGACACGGGGGGAGCTAGCCAGGCAAAGGGAGGGGAGAAAGGGTCCAGGCAGAGGGGACAGAGTGTGCAAATGTCCTGGGGTCGTGTGGCAGGGAGAGCAGCTGGGGGCCCCCCGTGGCTGTAACCGTAGTTGAGGGGCCAGGAAGCAGAGATGAGCTGTCAGAGGCTGGGAAGGTTGGGTATGTGGCCTCGAGGGGAGAGATGGGGCCACTGAGGGGTGTACTGAGGGGCAGCCCCCTCCCTCGTCTCAGAGTTCATTGCTACTCTGAACTCCAGTCATTATTGCCCAGGATCCATGACTGACGGATGCATCGCTCTGCATTGCTCCGTCATTGTTAGCTTGGAGGACAGGCTGAGAGGCAGGCTGGGAGGAAAGATGAGGGTGGTGAGGCCAGAGCAGGGCCCGTGGGGAGGGGCGGGCGAGGGGAGGAGGGAGGAGGGACCACGCAGGGCAAGCAGAAATGGGCTCTAATGTGTGCTGAGCCTTGGGTAGGAGCTTGGGCGTCTGCAACCCTGGCCCCGTCCCTGGCCACACGGGGGCACCTCTTCGATGGGGCTGTTCGGGGCTTGGTGAACGTGACCCTCCCAGCGTCTGCGGCTAAAAGCACCGGCCAGAGCAGGTTGGGGGCAGGTGGCGGTGCCATGGTCCGGCCCAGCCGGTGCAGGCCCCTTCCACCCGGTCAGTTAAGGGGACAGAGGGCTGGGAAAGTGTCGTCCCGGCCAGCTGCAGTCCCCGCTGTGGTTAGGGGCACCGCTGCCCACTGTTACGGAGGGAGGTGAGGCGTGAGCATCTGCTCCCGCCGGGCGGCCGCCGCAGGCTTCCCAGAGAGACACCGGGAGCGGGGTCCACCCCGGCCCTGCCACTGCCCTTCTCACTCTGGGCCTCGGTCTCCTCTGCTGGGACGGTGATGGGCACCCGCTGAGGGCCTGGCGCCTGCGGGCTCCCAGCGGGGGCTGATCCGTTCCTCGCTCTGCGGGTGGGGTGGGCGCCCCCTGCGGGCTGCAGGGTGGAGAGGGGCCGGTGGGCACGCTCCCGCTTCTCTTGCAGCCCTGAGGAAGGCGAACAGGAGCGACCCCAGGCCCTGGGCCCGCTTCCGCCAGTCCGGACCCGGGAAGGCGCTGGCCTACCTGCTGCTGCCCTGCACACTGCCCTTCGAGTTCGTCTACTTCCAGGGCAGGAGGTGAGGCTGGGCGGGGCTGTGGTGGAGCCCAGCGCCCGGGCAGGAAGGGCGGCCGGCACAGCAGGTGTCGGCTGAGGGACCCAGAGGGCTCTCGGGGCTGGTTCGGAGGCTGTAGCTGCTGCGGACCAGCCGGGGCCTCCTGGCTGGTGCCCTGGCCGCTCCCGTCTGTAGGACCTGGGTCCCATCGGTCAGAGCCTCAGAGACCATGTGCTATTTTAAAAAACAACTTTAGGGGCTGGATTGGCTCAGCTTTGCTGTGTGGCCGGGGCCAGGTCTCTTAACCTCTCTGGCCTCGGATTCCTTGCCTGGCAGCTGGCTGTGGCTAAGCCCCTCTACTCACTCTAACTCTGCTGACTGACGGAGCGCTCTGTGCTGTTCGTTTATTCTAGCAAGAGTCAGCCAGGGTTTGGCAGGGGCCCCGCCCCGGCTGGGGGCTAGGGGGCAGCGCCAACCCAGGCCCTGGCCTGGGAGCCTGGGGGCACAGGTCACACACGCTCATGTGTCAGCACTGCTCTGCCCGGAGGTGCCTAGGGGCTACACTGGCTGTGAGCCGGGCTGGCTTACACCAGGGGCTGCCTGGCCATGGAAGGGAGAGAGGGATGGAGACATCGGTGAGGAGAGAGGAACACTGTTCGGCTGCCCCCTGCACGCCCCACACTGGGGTGGAGCCGGAACCCAGGCATGTGTCCTGACCCGGAATCAAACTGTGACCTCCTGGCTCATAGGTTGATGCTCAACCACTGAGCCACACTGGCCTGGCTAGAGGAGATAACTTTTGAGCTATAATCTGAAAGACGAATAAGAATCCACTAAGCCAGTGGTCGGCAAACTCATTAGTCCACAGAGCCAAATATCAGCAGTGCAACGTTTGACCTTTCTTCAGAGAGCCACGTTTTTTAAACATAAACGTCTTCTAACGCCACTTCTTCCAAACAGACTCGCCCAGGCCGTGGTATTTTGTGGAAGAGCCACACTCAAGGGGCCAAAGAGCCGCGTGTGGCTCGCGAGCCGCAGTTTGCCGACCACGGCACTAAGCAAAGAGGGACGGGAAAAGCATTTCAGATGGATGGAACAGCATGGGCAACGGTCGGGGGCACGAGGGGCCCAGTGTCCCGGGAGAGCTGCATTTCAGAGGCTCCCTCTTCCCGGAAGAAGGCCTGTAGCCGCGGCCTAGGTCTCTGTCCTGCTCCACGTGGCGATAATGATGGGGCCAGTCCCGCCACTGAAATGGCTGGTGACCAGAGCTGGGAGAGGGCCTTCCGCTGGCCGCTCCGCCTTGTGCTGAGCCGTGAGACTCAGACCCCAGGTTGAAATTAAACCGGATAAAGGCAAATTCCCGCCTTTCCCGTTAAAAAGGAGAATCCAGCTAGGAGCACTGCTGGGGAGGCCTGCCAGGCCACGGGGGCAGGCCTGCTGGTGCTTCTGTCCGCTGCACCAGGTGTGACCATAGAGGCGGGGGGCCGGAGCCAGGAAGGTGCCAGCCGGCTTCCGTGCTGCTTGTCCCACAGCCCTGGGCCAGTCTGCCGGTCGAGGCCTGATCCTGAGGCCCCTCTGAGGGCCAGGCGGGGAGGGCAGTCCAGGGAAGGTGCCGGCAACGCGCTTTCTCCGCCACAGCCATACGCCCAGCCCTCTGCCTGGCTGCTGGGCCGAGAGCGCATGCAGGGGTGCGGAGGGGGGAGCTGGCCTGGGGAGAGGCAAGAGGAAGGGCTGGAGACGGTAGGGGGGTGGGGATGAGGGTTGGGGGGGAGGCTAGGAACTGCAGGTGAGGCGACTGTCCGTATTCGGCAGGTGAGAAAGCTGAGGCGGAGAGGTTCCCCGCCCCGCCCAGGGCACACAGCTGAGAAGCAGTGGGGCTGGGTTACACCCCAAGCCAGCCTGCCCCCCAAACCCTGCTCCGTCCCCCTGCCCTTTCTACTCGTGCTGTGGAGTGCACTCTCAGCGCCTGGTCGCCCACCGAGTGAGGAGGCCATTCCGTGTCAATCCCGGCCCCTCACTCCTGCAGGTGCCCTGCGAGGCTGAGCTGCGCCTGGTGGAACCCGTGCCCCTGGCTGCTCCTCACCCCAGCCCTTTCCTGCAGGCCTGGCGCCGTGGGCGCGGGGATCCCGGCTCCCCTCCGCCCGTGGGGAGGGGAGGGTGGGCTCAGCTGGGCCGATGCTCAGGTGAAGCTGTTGCTGCCCCTCCTCCAGGCTGGCCCTGTGGCTGCCAGACATGCCCGCTGACCTGTGGTGGATGCAGGGCGAGCTGAGGCGCGCGGCCCTCTGGGCGTGCTCCAGGATGAGGGACCAGCTCCTCGAACGGCTCAGGTGAGGCGCAGCCCGGTGGGCAGAGCCACGCAGCAGTCCTGGGGTGGGGGGTCACCCGCTGCTCCCCTGACCCTGGGCAGGCAGTCCACACTGCCCTGGGCCCGGCCAGCCTGCTGGACCCTGGGGGTTCGCCATGCCCCCTGGAACCTTCCATCACTCCGAGCTCAGCCAGACAGGGGCTTGGCTCGGTCCTTCCTTCCTCATCGCGGGACTTGGGGGAGGAGTGGCCGGGCTCACAGGGGCCAGGCTTCCCCTCATGGCATCCCCCAGCCCTTCCCCCACCCCTGGCTCTGACCACTGCCCTCACTGGCTTCCTCTTCCTCTGCAGCTCACCTGTCGCCAGCCCCCTCCCACCAGAGGCAGCTCCTGCCAAGGACTCGGCCCAGAAGCCCATGCCCCCTGCCCCTCGGGACTGAGGGGCATCAGGCGGGGCCTGCCCGTGACTGGCCTCTCTCGGTCTGTCATGGCCCTTGTCCTGGGGACCCACATCCCGTCCTGAGTGAGGCCAGGTTCTGACTTAACCTCCGGAGCTCAGAGCCTTGCCCCTGGCCCGGAGGACCGCGTGGTACTGTCTATGTACCCTCTTCCTCTCAGGCTCCTGTCCCGGGTGGTGTGTGTGGGGGGGTGGCCCTCAGGAGCCAGAGGGAACCTGCCAGCCCCCTGGAGCCCCTCCTCCCCGGAGCCGGCTCCCTGGGGCTCCTCTTCCTGGGGAGGGGCCCAGCCTGTCACTGTGTCCTAGCCACCGTGTGCCTGGGCCGCCTGCCCGTCTCATCGGAGGAGAAAGGAAGCAGGATGACGCACACCTGGGCTCTGGCCTGCCCCTCCAGGGCCAGTGGTGGGGCTGCTGCGGAGAAGGGTGGGTCGGGCGCCCGGCAGGGCCCCTGGCAGTGAGCTGAGCGCTTTACGAGGCGCGGAAGATGCCACCCCTGAGGTGGGGAGCAGATGGAGAGATGGGGCTGTGCTGCCCTCAGATCCTTTCTCTGAGTTCTCTGTCCTGCCAGCCCCCGGGCGTGACCCCCATGGCCGGCTCACTCCTCAGCTCACTTCCTCCTGGGCCCACCCAGCGAGAGCCCAGAGAGGGGAGGGGAGAGGAGAGAGGTTAAAGGGATTAAAACCTTTTCGGAATCCCAGCTGTACATGCCTCTTTGGGGTGCCCACTGGCGGCCCCTGTGACACCAGGCAAGTTCTTTCCTCATCCCGCTCCTCATTTCCCGTCTTTAAAACCAGGGGTTGGACTGGCTGGTTTGCACAGGCCTCCAGCTCTCCCCCGAGCCCCTCACACAGACAGAACCCGCGGTCAGGTGCAGGAGAGGTGCTTCCGGGAGGAAAGGGGTTCTGGTGGGGTCTTTTCGGAAGCCTAGAATGTGGGCTGGCAGATAGTCATTCCGGGAGAGGGCGCCAAAGCAGCTGGGTGACCGCAGTGAGTTACACTGACGAGGAAGCCGAGGCTCAGAGGGGCCAAGGCCTTGTCCCAGGCTGCACTGCCGGTCGGTGGTGGAGATGCCACTCAGGCTCAGGTCTGGGGACGCAGAGTGACTCCGCTCAGGACTCTTCTGCAGAGGTCCCAGTGTAACTGACCTTGACCTGCACCTGTCGGAGCAGGAGTGTGGTTGGAGCCTGTCCTTCATGGGCACAGGTGTCCTCAGGGACCACCCTGTGGGTGTGAGCATCTGCCCTGGTCAGCACCCAGTGCCTCGGACTTGCTTGACGCTATCTGTGGCAAGCAGATTGGTATGTGCCAATCTGTGGCCGTGGTCACATGATGCTAGGGGGGCAACCTGTGTCCCAGCACTAAGTACTGATGACCTTAGGCGTCCCCAGGCAGGTACCCCAACACTGCTGAGCGTTGCATCTCACCCATACATCTGGTTGTGTACACTGACCACATGTGTGGTGATGTTAAGGGGTAGCCATTACTTTTTAGTTGTGTTAATGTATTGGGCATATGTTTTCACGTGGTTATTATCCTCTAAAGATCATCCTATATAATAAAGAGGTATTATGCAAATTGACCACTACTCCAACACACAAGATGGCCCCCCCATGTGAAAACAAGATGGCTGGCAGGGGAGGGCAGTTAGGGGCAACCAGGCTGGCAAGGGAGGGCAGTTAGGGGTGACCAGGCCAGCAGGGGAGGGCAGTTAGGGGCAATCAGGCTGGCAGGGGAGCAGTTAGGCATCTATTAGGCTGGCAGGCAGAAGTGATTAGGGAAATCAGGCAGGCAGGCAGGCAGGTGAGCGGTTGGGAGCCAGCAGTCCTGGACTTTGAGAGGGATTCCAGATTGGAGAAGATGCAGGCTGGGCTGAGGGACACCCTCCTCCCCTGCACAAATGGCACTGAGCCTCTAGTGCTGAAATAGTTATAAATTAAATGACACTATGCATGAGGTTTTCTTCAAAAGAATCCTGTGCGGGGAGGTGAGTGAGAGTTGATGAAACATGAATTGCTAGCACCTGGCACTGGGTGACTAGTACATAGAAGTTCATTACACTATTCTCTGATTTTATGAGTTTGATGTGTCTATAATAAATAAGGAATTACCTTAAAACATGGATAGTACATACAAACAGGAAACTATGCATCAAGATAGCACATAAAACTAAGCAAAAGCAGGGCAACCAGCCGTCGTGGATTCTAGGAATCACAGATGAGGAGAGGCGGTGGGACCTGGGGAGCTGTCCAGTTCAGCACCGCGGACAGCGACCCGCGGCCGCCTTCCCGCCCAGCCTTCCCGCCGCCGCCGCCTCAGCTGCCTTAGGGATGTCAGAGGGAGGGGACTTCCGGGCCACTTTATCAGGAAAAGGCGTTCAGGACCGAGGCTCTCTGGCCTCTCCCACAGCCCAGAGATGGAGCGTGCACACCAGCGGGCAGACCAGGCCTTGGTGGGCAGCTCTGTTTCATAAGAAGCTTCTGTTCCCTGCCCTTAAGGATATCAGTCAAAAAACAAGCCATCGTATAGGTGTGTGCCTATTTGGGGGGTCTCTATTCTGTTCCATTTAAGTATATGCCTTTGCTTATGCCCATCTCACACTGTCTTGATTTATAGCTTTCCTATATAGCTTTTAGAAGAAGCTGGTTAATTTTTAAAAGTAAAATTTTTATTGATTTCAGAGATGAAGAGAGAGAGAGAAACATCAAGGGTGGGAGAGAATCATTGGTCGGCGGCCTCCTGCACACCCCACACTGGGGATCCAGCCTACAACCTGGGCACGTGCCCTGACCAGGAATTGAGCATTAATCTCCTGGTTCATAAGTGGATGCTCGACCACTGAGCCACACTGGCCGGGCACAGCTTGTTAATTTGTACAAAAGAGCCCATTGGGGTGTTGCTTGGGATTGCAGAGACTCTACAGAGGAATCTGAGGAGACTCCTAACACTGGGTCCCCGTGCAAGATTAAAGTGTAGGCCTTCTTCTCTCATCGATGTTTCTAACTCTGACTCCCTTCCTCTCTGTAAAAAATCAATAAAATATATAAAAAATAAAAATAAACAAAATGTAGCCCTTCTTGTTCAAAAAGCAGGGAACATGCGGTTCAAGGTGCTAATATAATGCCCACAATCCCCCAAACCGTCAACGTGTTTACTGTCTGCTCTGGGTAGTTCACGTCCCTCCCTCCAACACTGCACCCCTCACAGGGCACCTGCGGACCCTCACAAGAGTCTGGGGGACAAGCCCCTGACCCTGAGAGCTGCCCATTGGCTGCCCCTCTCCTCCTGTCAGCGGTGGGACCCACACATCACGCCCTGGCTGGGAGCGGAACTCCCCTCCCCACAAGCCTGCCGTCCCAAGGGTACTGCAACCTCCACGCCAGACAAATGGGCACCTGAACTGGGGGTGGGACAGAGGCTCACTCTGGCTGATTCACCCACCAAATGCCCTGGGCGCTGCCAGGCTAGGACAACCATGACAACGAGTCGGAGATGCCATGGGGAGTGAGCATTCTTCTCAGGCCCCTGGCCCGTGGGGAGGGGCGAGGAGAGAGGCTGGGCAGGGCTGGGGTGCTGGAGGACAGAGGAGCGGGCAATCAGGAACTTGTCCCGAGAAGGCGGCAGTGGGTGGACCCACTCCTGCTCCGAGGCTCCAGATCCTCAGCACGTGCTCCATCACCCCGTCAGACTGCACGCATAGAGCACAGGTCAAATATTAATAAAACGATTGCAATTTAAAGATGGGACCACAGAGCATTAAGCCCACGTGCAGGGCCCTCTGGGCATGTCCATGAGGCAGGCCCTGTCTGTGCATCTATGGACTGGTTTCTGCCTCTATCCATCACCGCATGTATATCGTCTGGACACCTACTCTATGTGCACTCTGTCTAAGTCATCACGTAACCACCACAGAGCAAGCTAACGTCCCCACCTCCACGGAGGGCACTCCCTGTTTTTTCCCACTCAGCTCTCTCCCTCGGACCCGCATTAAGCCCTTTCCTGGCCTTTATCATCGTAGATTCGTGTTGCTTATCTTTGAACTATACGTGAATGGGATCATAGGACATGTCGCCTTTTGTATTTGGCTTCTTTTACTCGTCATTAAAAAAAAACACATATTTTTTTATTGATTTCAGAGAGGAAGGGAGAGAGATAGAAATATCAGTGACGAAAGAGAACCATTGATCAGCTGCCTCCTGCACGCCCCCCATTGGGGGATGGACCCACAGCCGGACATGTGCCCTGACCAGGAACAGAACCCTGACCTCCGGGTTCACAGGTGGACGCTCACCACGGACCCCTGCTGACCGGGCATCTTCATCATTCTGATTGCAAAGCTCACCTGTGCTGTATGTGCCAGTGACTCTTCATATCGTTAAAAACATTGTGTGGTAAGCATCCCGTTGTATGAATACGTCACCGTTCAGCCATCCTACTGCTGAGAGATGTTTGTTTCCAGTTTTTGTCTAATATGTGCAAATTGTTCCTAACTTGGCCTTGCAAGCTGCCACTGTGTCCTTTTGACAGACCCTTATCACTTTTAAAAACACTTTCTTTCTTTTTTTTCTTTTTGGCCCAACAAGATGTTTTAGGTTCATCTCATACTCTTTGCCCAGCCCTGGGACTGACCTTTTCTTCAGGAAACCCGCTTCCTTCTGGGGGGAGGGGAGTATTGGAAACCAAGGAGATCTGGGCGCTGGGTGTGCCTGGTGTGATGAACCTCAGTGCCAAGGGCCTTGTGAGCAAAGAGAAGAAATAGTTTTAAAAATAATAAACTCATATCAATACCTCAGGTTCCAGTTCAATACCACATGGCTCTTCCTTGCCTCTTCCGCAGTGAGAACCCCCACCTGGAGCATCAGCATTCACTCACGCGAGAACAAAGATATATAGATATAGATATAGATGATATAGATATAGATAGAGATAGAGATAGAGATAGAGACAGAGAGAGTCAATGATTGGATGAGGGTTCGTACTAAAACCTCTTTAGAATTGTTCTCAAGTTGCTCCCTGCTTACGAAGCGCCTTATTAAAAGCAGACTTGGGTGCTGTCTGGAGAGGGTCCTTTTGGGTCTGCCATTGGTCCTGGAAAGCTGCAGTCCCCTCCCCCCCCGCCCCGCCCCCCGCCCTAGGATCTCTCATCGCACAGTCTACCTGAGAGTGTCCTGGTTATTCACAAATGTAAGCCCGAAGGGCGCACAGGTCAGACGCTTCTGAATGCGCATGGAAGGAATGAAGTTCCTTCAGGCCTCTTCTGGCCGCAGCATCTCCTGAGCCGGGCTGGGCGCTGCGGATGAGGCCTCAGGGGCCGCGAATGGAGGCGTGACGGAGGGATGCGGACTGGGGTGCGCAGGGGTCCCCCGCGGCCCTCCTTGGCGGTGGGTGCCAGCTGCCAGGTGAGGGCGGGGCGGGCCCTGAGGCCTCAGACGTCACGTCTGCGGAGGGCGGGGCCATGACGTCATACAGGCGGGGCGCAGGCCGGCGCGGTGGGTGCGGCGGCGCCGTGACGTCACGCCTGCGGCGGCGGGCGTGGGCGCGGTGCGGCGGCGGCAACGGGCAGCGGGCAGCGGGCGGCGGCAGCGGGCACCGGGCAGCGGGCAGCGGGCGGCGGCAGCGGGCACCGGGCAGCGGGCACCGGGCAGCGGGCGGCGGCAGCGGGCACCGGGCAGCGGGCACCGGGCAGCGGGCAGCGGGCGGCGGCAGCGGGCGGCGGGCACCGGGCGGCGGCGGCGGCATGGCGGAGAGCGAGGCCGAGACGCCCAGCACCCCGGGCGAGTTCGAGAGCAAGTACTTCGAGTTCCATGGCGTGCGGCTGCCGCCCTTCTGCCGCGGGAAGATGGAGGAGATCGCCAACTTCCCGGTGCGGCCGAGCGACGTGTGGATCGTCACCTACCCCAAGTCCGGTGAGCGCGCCGCCGGCCCGGCCCGGCCCTGCCCCCGCCCGGCCCGGCCTGGCGCCCTCCGCCGGAACCCATCAGGGCGGAGGGACCGTCAGGGCGGAGGGACCCTCAGGGCGGAGGGACCGTCAGGGCGGAGGGACCCTCAGGGCGGAGGGACCCCTCAGGGCGGAGGGGCCCTCAGGGCGGAGGGACCCTCAGGGCGGAGGCGCCCTCAGGGCGGGATGGGGCGGGGCCCGCATACGGGGACACTGAGGCCGGGGACCTGCGGAGGGGAAGCCGGCGTGCGCGGCGCGGGGAGGGAGCCAGGCCGGGCGCCCTCCCCGCCGTCCCCCGCGGCTGTGACCTTGGGCAGCCCCTGCCCCTCTCCGCTCCGGACCGCTCCGCCCGGCCGAGGGCAGAGTCCGCGATGGCCTGGGAGGGTGAGGCGGCGGGGCCTGGACCTCCCCCGCTCCTGCGTGGGCTCCGGTGGGGAGCGGACCGCCGGGTTCCCTGGCGCAGGGCCTCCTCCATCACCTCCTCCCTCTCCGGGACCAGCAGGCCGGGCTCCCCCATCTCCCGGCGCCGCTGACGTCATCTTCTGGCAGCCGCGGCCGGTCCCCGCGCAGGAGGAGGCAGAGGCTGCCCAAGGTCGCAGCCCTGAGCGGCGGGGAGTGCAAAGGCGCAGGTGTGCGCGCAGGCCTGGGAGGGCTGTCCCTGGAGGCCGTGAGGTCTGGGGAGGGAGAAGGCCTTCTGGTTCTCTAAGCTTCCCTTCGGCCCCTCACCTCCCTCCAGCCCCTCACCTCCTCCCTCAGGCCCCTCACCACCTCCCTCAGGCCCCTCACCTCCTCCCTCAGGCCCCTCACCTCCTCCCTCAGGCCCCTCACCTCCCTCCGGCCCTTCACCTCCTCCCTCCAGCCCTTCACCTCCTCCCTCCGGCCCCTCACCTCCTCCCTCAGGCCCCTCACCTCCCTCCGGCCCCTCACCTCCCTCCGGCCCCTCACCTCCCTCCGGCCCCTCACCTCCTCCCTCCGGCCCCTCACCTCCTCCCTTCGGCCCCTCACCTCCCTCCGGCCCCTCACCTCCCTCCGGCCCCTCACCTCCTCCCTCAGGCCCCCTCACCTCCCTCCTGTTCCTCACCTCCTCCCTCAGGCCCCTCCAACTCCCTCAGGCCCCTTCACCTCCCTCAGGCCCCTCACCTCCCTCAGGCCCCTTCACCTCCTCCCTCAGGCCCCTCACCTCCTCCCTCAGGCCCCTCACCTCCTCCCTCAGGCCCCTCACCTCCCTCAGGCCCCCTCACCTCCTCCCTCAGGCCCCTCACCTCCCTCAGGCCCCTCACCTCCTCCCTCAGGCCCCTCACCTCCTCCCTCAGGCCCCCTCACCTCTCTCAGGCCCCCTCACCCCTCAGGCCCCCTCACCTCCCTCTGGTCCCCCTGCCTGTGGGAGCAGGAGGGAGGGAGGGAGGCGCTGGTCCAGACGCTGTGGCAGGGCTGCAGCAGCGGGGAAGGAGAAGGAGGGCTGGAGGTCATGTGGGGCCCACAGGGAGGGGGGCTGGGAGGGGGGCAGGCGGCTGCGGGGCCGGGAGAGCTGTGGGTCCTCGCCACCCAGGAGCTGGGCCCAGTTCCCCGGAGGAAGGCTGGGAGGGCGGTCAGTGAGGGTGGGAGCTGTGCTGGTGGGGGAGCTTGGGGAGAGGGGAAGGAAGGAGGTGTGCACCCCCAATGCTGTGGCCCCAGCCGCCCCAGCCCCGTGGGGGAGGGGGCTGGAATGGTCCAGGTTTCAGAGCCATGGAGGATGGTCGTGCGGGGAGAACCCGCATTCAGTGGGTCTAGAGGCTGGAGATGGCCTGGAGCCGGTTTGGGGCCAGGTTTGCCTGCATGAGACTGGAGGGACTTGGTGCGGGGAGTTCTCAGGGTTGGGAGCTGCCCAGGAGGGACTGGGTCTGTGCTGCTGCCTCCATTTGCGCAGGAGATGGAGGGAGAGGAGCTGGAGGGCATGGAGCAGCAGCCCGGAGGTCACTGAGGTCGCTGGGAAAGCGCTGGGAGTGGGGGCTTGTGGGGGATGCTTTGAGGGGCCCTACTGGGGGTGAAGGGTAGGGGTGGGCCTGGGGGAGCCTGGCAGCAGGGACCTTTCTGGGCACCTGGGTGGGGAAGGAGGCGTTAGTTTATGGAAGTTTTCTAGACACAAAACTCCCCTCTTTCAAAGCAGACAAGAGCACAGCGTGCGCGGGAGAGGAAACTCGGTGACGGGCAGTGCAGCGCAGCCTCGGACCCTGTGTGAGGTCCCTTCTCACGCACCCGGGGCTCCCTCCCAGGCTCCCTCCTGGCCTCGCAGCCTCTCCCTGCTCCCTGCCCGCTCGTCTGCCTGTGTCTCACCTTCCGTGTCGGAGGCCGGGCCCTGGCACTGCCTGCGAGAGCCGGTGTGAGCCGGCAGGTGCAGCATCAGGCGGCTGCCGTGCTGGGAGCTCTGTGGTCACAAAGCCCCCTGTGCCCGTGGTCCCAGCACCTTCTCCTCAAGCTCTGCGAGGCAGGGCGGAGCGGGCCCCTGCCCCCAGAGCGGAAACGGAGGGCCTAGGATAGGGGTGTCGAACTCAATCAGAGAAGGGGCCAAAATCTAAAATCCAGCCTAAATCGCGGGCCGAATGGTTTACTGAACAGTCATAAACTGTCATTGTGATGGAAACGCAGCGGAGTGCAGTGATGACAGCGCGGTGCGGGCCACATTGCAAGGCCTGGCGGGACGGATTTGGCCCGCGGGCCTTGTGTTTGACACATGTGGCCTAGGAGGTGGGCGCCGCTCCCAAGCTCATGTGGCTGGACCAAGGCTGTGTGGAGGGGACTGAGGTCCCGGGAGCGAAGGAGGAGCAGTCATGGGCACTGTGGAGGCCGGAGGGTGGGCTGAGGGAAGCATCGATCAGCTGCCTCCTGCACACCCCCCACTAGGGATCGAGCCAGCAAACCGGGCACGTGCCCTGCCCGGCAATGGAACTAGTGATCTTTTGGTACATGGGATGATGCTCAACCCACTGAGCTACACCAGCCAGGGCTTCTGTTTCTTTTTTGCTTTCTTTACCTTCTCATCCACCCCAAGGGATGGTGGCAGGAAAGAGGGAGCGTTTCTCGGGAATGATGATGGCGACACTGGCTCTGACGTGGTGGTTCTGAGGGCTCCCCCTCCCCCCCAGCCCCTGTTCTCTACATGAAGCATCGAGGGGACCGAAGAGCCAAAATCGGCCCTGAAGGTTTTCTCTCAGAGGGAGAGGGGCCTGAGGTGGTCTCCAGTGGCAGCTGGTGTAGCAGGAAGAGCTGGTCTGGGGTCAGGACCCGGGTTCTTGCCTGCGCTTGCCCGTGGGGGGTGTGAGCTCCCTGCTGAGAGCCCACAGCCTGAACTGCAGCCGCTGAGGCCGCTCCCACGCCCTGATTCTTTAAAAATGTATTCTGATTGATTTCAGGGAGGGAGGGAGGGAGGGAGAGAGAGAGAGATCAATGAGGAGGGGAAATCATCAATTGGTCCCCGTCCCCCCTGGGACTGAGCCTGCAACCCAGGCATGCACCCCAGCTGGGAATCAGCTCCAGGTTCATAGGGCGAAGCTCACGCACTGAGCCACGCCGGCCGGAATGGCGCCAGGGCCGCTTTCGGCATGGTGACCGGCCACCTAGGAGTTCTGTGTGTCCGGCCCCTGCCATGTTCATTCATGAGGAGCTCTCCTGCCTTTTGTAGAGGCTCAGAGGCCCCCCACTGCCCCCCACCGCCCCCCGTCTCTCAGGGGCAGTGCCATCTCTGGAAAGGCATAAAGGGGCCAGACTCGGGCCCCGGGCAGGAGGGAGGAGCATGCCTTCTCTCCGTGGCTTTGTAACTGGGGATCTAGGGCCACAGGGGATCTCAAGGCTTTGCCGCTGGGCTGAGGCCTCGGGGGGGGGGGGGGGGGTCGCCCAGCTCCCATCCTTCCCTCGCTTCCCCCCTTTTGCCACGGATGGGCCTGTAGGAGGCGCCAGTGCGGAGAGAGGAAGAGTCTGGCTTTGGAGCTGGAAGGCCTGGGTTTGCATGTGGCTTTGCCGCTTGCCACCTGGGTGACCTGGGCAGATGGCATCTGTGAGCTGTGGTGTCTGCAGGGGGAGGGGAGACCGCCTCCTGCCTGATGGCCGAGGCTGGGCAGTGAGGGCCCCTCCTCCGGTCAGCGGGGTGGAGCGCGTGGTGTCATGGAAAGTTCTGTCCCTCTCCCGTCCTCCGTAGGATGGGTCTTTCCCCCCCCCCCCCCCCCCGCCGGATTTTCTCTTTCTCTTTGATTTTCGGCACTTAATAGAAGTCTAGTGTTTTGTTTTGTTTTTCAAGGCAGGGATACTTATCTTGATTTGGGGGGGGTAGGGGGCTCTGAACTTCTTAGACCTGTGGTTTGATACCTTTCACTATTTTGGAAAAGCTCTCAGCCATTCTCTCTCCAAATATTTCTTCCGTCCTGTTCTTTCTCTTTTGAGATTCCAATGATCCGTGGTCGGCAAACTGCGGCTCTTTGGCCCCTTGAGTGCGGCTCTTCCACAAAATCCCACGGCCTGGGCGAGTCTATGTTGAAGAAGTGGCGTTAGAAGAAGTTTAAGTTTAAAAAACTTGGCTCTCCAAAGAAATTTTAGTCGTTGTCCTGTTGGTATTTGGCTCTGCGGACTGATGAGTCTGCCGACCACTGCCAATGATCATTCCAGTTTCTGCTGAGCCGTCTTCAGGAGAACTGAATCTTTCTTCCGCTGGGTCAGGCCCGGAGGCCAGGCCCGTGAGCCGTCAGAAGCACCCTGCGTTTCCGTTGGCGTGTTTTTGTTTTCCTCTGGCATTGTGACGTCTGGTTTCCGCCTCTCTGCTGAAGTGCCCATGTGCTCGCGAACCTTTTCCAGGAAACCCGTGAACGTTGCTGGGATTTTAGATTGAGCTGGTTCTGTGGATTGTTCTGTCCTGTTTCTTGCCATTACGCTGAGCGTGCTCTTTGCTTGTTTGTGGACACGGTGTGCGGGCGTTGGAGCCGGAGGAACGTGGCGTGTGCCCCCCGGGCCAGGCCTTCGTGTGGGAGGGGGGCTGTGTGTGGGTTGCTCTGATCACTTGCTTGACCCCCGTTTTAATCCCGTGGCTTCACCGGGTGCCTCGCTCAGGGCTGCCTCCAGGGGGTCTGGTTCTTCGGTGTCCTGCCCACCCCAGCTTTTGGGCTGAGCCTCAGGAGGGTGTCTCCCCACACCGCGCTCCGTCCCCAGCCTGGGGGGGCTGAGGGTTAGCGCTTTAGCGCTTCTGGCCTTGGTTTTGCTGCCCACGGTTATGAGCCCTGTGTGTGTGTGTGTTATGTGTGGTGTGTGTGTGTCGTGTGGGTGTATGGTGGTGGTATGTGGTATGTGTAGAAGTGTGTAGTGTGTGTGTGTGCTGTGTGTGTGTATATGTGTGTGCTGTGTATATGTGTATAAGTGTGTGGTGGTGGTGGTGTGTGTGTGTATGTATATAAGTGTGAGTGTGTGTGTGTGTGTGTGTGTGTGTGGTGGTATATATGTGCGTAGTGGTGTGTGTAGTGTGTATGTGTGTGGCATGTGTATATGCGTGTAATGTGTGTATGTGTGTGTGCTGTGTGTGTGTGTATGGTGGTATGTGTGTGTGCTGTGTGTGTGTGTATAAGTGTGTGGTGGTGGTGGTGTGTGTGTGTATGTATATAAGTGTGTGTGGTATATATGTGCGTAGTGGTGTGTGTAGTGTGTATGTGTATATGTGTGTAATGTGTGTATGTGTGTGGCATGTGTATATGCGTGTAATGTATGTGTGTGTGCTGTGTGTGTGTGTATGGTGGTGTGTGTGTGTGCTGTGTGTATGGTGGTATGTGTGTGTGTGCTGTGTGTATGGTGGTGTGTGTGTGTGCTGTGTGTATGGTGGTATGTGTGTGTGTGCTGTGTGTATGGTGGTATGTGTGTGTGCTGTGTGTATGGTGGTATGTGTGTGTGTGCTGTGTGTATGGTGGTGTGTGTGTGTGCTGTGTGTATGGTGGTATGTGTGTGTGTGCTGTGTGTATGGTGGTATGTGTGTGTGCTTATGTGAAAACACCCTCGTTCTGGAGTCATGGCAGTGGGGGCCCGGGCCCCGGCCAGCAGCCCTGTGGCCGTGGGCAGCGCACCGCTGAGCCGCTGGGCCCGCCTCTCCGTGTGTGAGGCCAGAGGAGGCAGCGCCGGGCGGGAGAACCGTGAGGACGTGGCTGCGAGTCCCTGGGACGGAGCCTGGGACCCGGCGCTGCCCTTGGCTGTCAGTGGTGACAGCTGGGCACCCGTGAGCGCTGTTCAGGGCTTCTGGGCTTGGCTCGCCACCCGTTCTCAGCCCTGTGCCTGCGCTCTGCCTGCCCCCCGAGGCCCTGTCCCCCGAGGCCCCTGCCCCCCGAGGCCCCTGGCCCCCGAGGCCCTGTCCCCTGAGGCCCCTGCCCCTCGAGGCCCTGTCCCCCGAGGCCCTGTCCCCCGAGGCCCTGTCCCCCGAGGCCCCTGTTCCCTGAGGCCCCTGTCCCCTGTGTGCCAGGAGGGCGGGGATCATTCTCAGAGACGATCGGAGACAATCCTGAGAGCTGTAGACAGCACCCTGGGCCCTCCCCGGACAGGACGGCTGCCGAACTGGAGGTAGGACGCCTGCTGCTCCGGGCCGGAGCCTGCTCAGCGTCCAGGGAGCAGGTCCCGCCCGGTGGGGCTGCAGGGCTGCAGGGCTGCAGGGCTGCAGGGGCCCGGGCTGGGCCCGCTCCGGGTGCAGCTCCTAACGCCGCTGCTGCTGCCCCGAGGGGCGGGCCAGGCCGGGGGACGGGGTCCGGTCCCTCTGGACGGCCCTGGGCTCACGGTTGGGCGGGGCAGGGTGAGCGCATGTGCATCTCTGCTGCCTCTAGAAACCTCTCCACACGCCAGTCACCGCGTGGAGCGCCCCGAACCCCGTGGAGAGGAGGTGACCGTCAGCTGTGCCGGCAGGAGTGGCACGTGCTGGACGGATTAGCCACAAGAGGCTTCGCAGAGACCGGCTTCCCGGGAAGTTTATGCGGGGGCCGTGGAGTTGGGCACGGCGAGCACAGCGACAGGGGGACACGGGCCACATGGGACGTGGGATCTGGGGAAGCGACACCCTTGAGGGCGAGGTTCCCCATCCCGCCCCTACGTGGCTCCGGGATGCTGTGGCCCCAGCGGACGTAGGAGCAGGTGGGCAGAGGGACGAGGCCGAGCAGCACCCGAGAGCCCCCGGGGCCGGCGGGGGAGTGTGGTGGCCACAGCAGCCAGGAGAGTGGGTGGGGGGCTGAGTGGGCGCCCGCTAACCTCCAGGTGCCTGGTGCTGGGACTTGGGGGGCAGTGGCAGGCAGAGGAGCGGTGAGCGGAGGACTGACGGCCCTGGTGCCGGGGGAGCTGGCAGAGCCCTCGGTGCCGGTGCTGAGAGAGCGGCAGGAACCTCGCAGTGAGTGGTCAGTGCCGTTGTCCGGGCTTTTTCCGCGGCCATTTCGCCCCATCTTGCCCGCGGCCTGGGGTGGCCCGAGCTCCTCCCTGCACTGTCCCCTGTGCCCCTGCCCGCCCTCCGTGGTGCTGGGCACGGGCAGTGCCCGCCTGCCGAGTCCCTGAAGGCTGGAGGGGGAGCAAGCGTGGCTCAGCCAGGAAGTGGGCCTGGGGGCCGCTGGGGACAGGCTGCCCTCTGGCTCCCAGGAGGCTGGCCTTCCGGCACGGAGAGCTAATGGGCCTGGAGCTGCCGAGCAGAGATTGACGGAAATCGATGCTAATGTGCAGAGAACACCGGTTTGGGTCCTGCCGGTGGGGCTGTGGGGGCGGGGGGGTGGGGGGGTGGGGGTGGGAGCACTAAAAATAGGCCCCGAGGACGGCCCTGGGAGAGCTGTTTCGGGAACTCTGCCACAGTGGTGGAGGGCACAGACGCCAGTGCAGCCGCCCCGAGCGGCCGATGGCGCTGGGACCCGGGCCCACGTCGGCCTCAGGAGCCTCGTCGGTGAGGGAGGGACGGCCCCCTCAGGTGGGAGGGAAGCTCCCAGGGTTAGAACGTTTTCTGTCTGCACCACTTTCCCCCTAAGCGCCTTTGCTCCAAAGCCACCTCCTCCAGGAAGTCTTCCGTGACCAACATACCTCTTTCTGATTGCTCAGCACCCAGGCTGTGCTTGTGCCTTCAGAGTAAAGGATGTGCAAGTCATGCCTGGGCCGTTGGTGCGGCAGGGGCTAGAGGTCAGGCAACAGGGGAAAGGGTGGATGTGTCAGTGCCGGGGCTGGTCAGGGAGCCCCCCCTCGGAAGGATCTGAGGGAGGGAGGAAAGGGCTTCAGCCCGTGCACACAGCACGCTCCGGGCCAGCAGGGAGGCCGAGGGAGCTCAGTGGATGAGCCGTGGGGGCCGTGGGCCGGGCTGCCGGGCGTGGGGGCCGTGGGCCGGGCTGCCGGGCGTGGGGGCCGTGGGCCGGGCTGCCGGGCGTGGGGGCCGTGGGCCGGGCTGCCGGGCGTGGCTGCCGTGGGAGGCCTTGCTTTGCCAGGAGAAGCAGGTCCTGGGCGGTCTCTGGGGCGAGTGCCATGCGGTGTCCGTGTCAGCACCGTGGCTTGCGTCACCCGTTGCTGAGCTGCTGAGGGTGGGGGCACAAAGAGCCGGACAGGAGGTGGCTGGGGGTCGGCGCCCCCTGCCCAGCACTGTGTGTGGCACAGCCTCCCCGGAGCCACGCCGCTCAGGGCCACGCATCTCGTTGCCGTCGGCGGAGGACCAGCCACACTTCCTCTCGCTCTGGCCTCGCCCACCTGTGTCCCGTGGTGTCCCAGCCTCGGCTGTCCTGGGCAGCATCGCGCTGTGCGTGTGTGCAGGACCTCCCGTAACCAGGGAGTCTGGACCACAGGGCCCTGTGTCGGCTGTTGGGCTGGGCACACAGGCCTCGGTGTAAGGCACTGGCTGGTGGGCCCTCCCGCTGGGCCTGCGGCCTGAGGGTGATGGAAAGTGGAGCCGTAAGCCGGGACTGAGCACCCTCCGTGTCACAGCGCTGGGCCCGGGGGGGGGGGGGTCCCTTCCGTTCCCCGGACACCCCGAGAGACGCCCGCGGGGTTAGCGCCCGGAGAAGGGAGCCGGAGGCAGCGCCCCGTCCCTGCAGGGGGCCGTGATCTCCGCCAGACTCAGGTGCTCCGGGCCCCCCGCCGGCCTCTGAGCGCCTCCCCCCGCAGGCACCAGCTTGCTGCAGGAGGTGGTGTACCTGGTGAGCCAGGGCGCGGACCCCGACGAGATCGGCCTGATGAACATCGACGAGCAGCTCCCGGTGCTGGAGTACCCGCAGCCCGGCCTGGACATCATCAAGGTGACGCCTCCAGGCCGGGGTGGGGCCCGGGGGAGGGAGAGCAGAGTGCTGCCAGCACCCCAGGTGGCTGGGGAGACGGGCCTGACCCCATGATGGTGACCCCGGAATCCAGGGGTGGGTGACGTGGGTGACCGACCGCAAGGTAGAAAGGAGGCAGGTGCCGGGAGTGGGGGGCAGGGGGGAGGGGGGTGGGGACCTGGCGGCACCGTGCAGGCGGTGGGTAGGATGCATTTGCATCAGGTTTTTGGTGTCAGGAATCATCCCGATTTCCTGTCCACCTGTCCCTCTGCTGCCTCTGGAATGCTCTCTCCAATCTCCCCTCTGCCCCCTGAGTTCAGGCCGCATTCCCAGCTCGGACCGCTGTCCCTTGTCCTCCTGGTTGAGTGCTCTGTGTTGACTCATCCGCGGAGCCAGTCTGTAGAACTAACCCTCCTCCCTGACCCCTTCCCCTGAGCCCCCTTCCCTAACCCCCCCACCCCTGACCCCTGCAGGAGCTGACGTCACCCCGCCTCATCAAAAGCCACCTCCCCTACCGCTTCCTGCCCTCTGACCTCCACAACGGCGACTCCAAGGTAATGCCTCTCCCGCTGGCCTGTGCCCTCACAGCTCCCAGGACCCAGCGTCCACCCTGGCAAAGCCAGTGCCTCTGGCGTTTTGTTCCCAGTTTCCACCTGGGCTGCTCCTCGGAGCGGACTGGTCCCGCCTCTGCTCGCAGGAGGCCGAACGCTTCACGCTGATGTTTCTTGTTTTCTCAATGGCGTGAGGTTGACGAGCCCCTAGTTCCCATCCCGTGTCAGACCATGGTTTTCCGTCTCCCTCCCTGGTCCTCTGTGGAGCTGGGACAGAGACGTAACCCCTCGCTCTGCTCAGGGCCTGTCCCGGCGGGCGGTGCTGTGGGGGAGGCCGCACCCCGGCTGCGGCCGTGAGAAGCGCTCGCCGTGGGCACGCAGGGGTGTATGGGGGGGCGGCCTCAATGCCGAGGGGTCGGTGCGCAGGAGCGGGAGTGGCTGTGTACCCGCTCGCGGGAGCAGCGGCGTCTGATGCCCCCCCACCCCCAGGTCATATACATGGCTCGGAACCCCAAGGACCTGGTGGTGTCCTACTACCAGTTCCACCGCTCGCTGCGCACCATGAGCTACCGGGGCACCTTCCAGGAGTTCTGCCGGCGCTTCATGAACGACAAGCGTAAGTGGCCGCCCCAGCCTCGCCGAGGGCCCTCGCTGGTTACGCAGCGCCCGTGTGTGCCGTGCCCCGCCCGCATCCCCCGGGCCCGGCCATCGCCGGTGCCGGCCTGCTTTCCCACTGAGGGGTGGGCAGGCCGGGCTGCAGGGCAGCGGGACGCCTGTCCAAGGCCGTAGCTCGCGGGCAGCAGGGCGGGGTCCCCTCAGAGGCCCTTCTCTCCTCGATGTGGGTTCTGAGATGCTCCCGTTACAAGCATCTCCCTGCCGGCTGGCTTGGGAAGTGGAAACGGAGGCCCAGCCATCTCCGTCACCGATGACAGACCCAGGGCAGGCGTGACTTCCTGTGCCAACACGGGGACGCCGCGGGATGGGGGCAGGCAGGCAGTGTGGCCCAGGAGGGGCGGGGAGCAGTGCTCCCTGCAGGCGTGGGCGGTCAGCCGGCCCTGGACAGAGGGGCAGCAGGTCCTCCCTACAGTCTGTCCTTCACCCGAGGGGCACCCTTCGCCAGCCAGGGCTTCTCCAGGCTGAGACGTGAAGTGGGCCATGTCTGAACCTCAAACCCTCACGCAGGAGGCTGCTTCACTCCCAGGGCTGGAAATGCACGTCCTGCGTTATTTCCCGCTCCAGTAGCTGCTGCGGGGAGAGTGAGTGCTGAGGTTAAGGTCCAGTGCGTCCTGGACACTCAGCAAGTTCCGGTCGCCGGTGTGGAGGGCAGAGCATTTGAAAGTTATCCCAAGGCAGGCCTGCCCGCGCCTGAAGGCCACAGCACTGTCAGGCACTGAAGTCCAGGGCCATGGGCACTCCCGGGTCTCGCAGGCCGTTCATTCCCTTTACTCTCTTCCCAGAAGGCGCTGCCTCTGGGCTAGCAGGGCCCCTGCCTGGCTCTCCTCTGTCCAAGGTCCTGAAATTCTGAATAAGAAGTGAGAGCAAGGCCTAGGACCCGCTGACAGCACTGGCTTTGGGGCTGTAACCCATGCATTCTGGGGGCGTGCTTGGGGCCACGTGCCCAGGTGAGCCGCTCTGAGGGCAGCTCCCTGCTGGAGGGGCCAGTGAGCTGTTAATCCCATAATGATTCTCTGGGATAATCCCATAATTCTCAGGGCAGCGGCACCTGGAGAGAAGCAGGAGCTGTCGGGACCCCCTCCCAGGAGGGTCCCCCCATGAGGGCACGCCCCTCTGCAGCTGCTGCCAGGGCCCCGGTGCAGTGGCCCCGCCCTCTGTGCTCAGGGGCCCGGGGCCCCTCCTGTCCAGCTGGGCACCCCAGTGGTGGTCTGCTGTTTTGTGAGTTTTCTCCTGGGCAAGGGGGACTGGCTCAGGCTCCCTGTGACCCAGGCTCAGCCTCGGGCTCTTCGTGGGGCCACGGTCAGTAGCCTGCGGTGAGGGGCCCAGCAGAGGGGCCAGCGCTTACCGGGCTGAGGGCCGCAAACAAGACCTTTGGCCTAACCTCTGTTCCTTCCTGTCCATCCGCTCTGCCCCCTGGTGGAGAGCCCCCCCCTTCCTCATCCCCGCGGACTGGGGAGGGCCTTTCTGTCTGACCTGCTCCTTAAGGCCCCTTCGCTCAGTGACCCTGACCCCATCCCTGCTGCTGTGCTGCCACCTGCTGGTGAGATGGCAGCGGGCGCAGGCTGACCAGAGAGGAGCAGTTGTCACTCCTGGCAGGGCCCTGTCTTCTGCAGCCTCCCCTCTCCTCCCCACACCCCCAGCAAACCGAGGGCCCCGTGCCCTTTTCCTGGGCATCGCTCTCCTCCCGATGGCCATTTGTTAAACACGAACCCCTGTGCCAGGGACCATCATGCCCAGGAGAGCAGAGGCTTCCCCCAATGCCGGTCTTTAGGGCACCCAGAGGTGGGGGGGGGGGGGGCTGTTTCCTGGAGAGGCCTGTGCAGAGAGCAGGGACATGGGGCTTCAGAAGACCTTGTCTGTGGGGCTCCCACCCCCAATACCTCCCAATCCCTGGGGCTCCCTCCCCTCCAGCCCAGAGCCTGCTTTCCCACGGCCCCCGGGAGGGCAGGGCAGGGCAGAGCCGCGTGCTCGCCTCCCGGCGGACGCTCACCGCCCTGTCTCCGCAGTGGGCTACGGCTCCTGGTTCGAGCACGTGCAGGAGTTCTGGGAGCACCGCACCGATGCCAACGTGCTCTTCCTCAAGTACGAGGACATGCACCGGGTGAGCGGGCGCCGGGGGCCGGCGGGGGCGGGCGGAGTGGGCCCTGCCCACCGAGGGGGCGACCCGGAGCGTCCGAGAGCCCCCGGCCTCAGCGTGCCCAGACGTGTCCCCCTGTGCCCCCTGGAAGCCCCTTCACAGGAAGTCCCCGCTTACCGCTGTGGATAGGCTCTGTGGCTGTAATGAACCATTACAACCAGCACAGGCTGGTGGACAGTAATCGGAGCTGAGTCCCTGCATCTCATCAGCGGAACAAGGTGGAGTGCAGGGATGTTGTTGTTCAAGGAGCGCATGGTGGCATGGGAGCCTCGGGGGCCACGGGGGGCTGTGTGGGGAGCAGGTGTGCCCGCAGCTCCGTCAGTCACCCCCACAGTCAGGGGCAGGCGCTGGGCCAGCTGGGAGTGGGTCTGGCTTCAGACCCAGCCGGCTCCTTCCTGCTGAGGGCGGGAGCCGGGGCCTGTTGGGCCCAGGGCCTCCTTGCCTCCGAGGTGCCGGCCTCGACTCCAGCGGGCGGGGGAAGGACGGAGAAGGAGGAATGGGCCGGTGGGTGTTTACTTCTCGCTGCTGTTTTACAGCGGCCACAGCCACATCCAGCCCCTGTCTGCTTCAAACTCCCGGGGACCTGGGTCTGAAGCCCAGAGTGGCCCTCGGGCCACTCCCTAACCCGGGTCTTATTTCCAGTTGAGGCCCGTCTCAGACTGGGCGCAGGACCGAGGCCAGCCCCTCGCGGGGGCCGCCAGAGGCCAGTAACGGCGCCCTCTCTCCTCTTCTCTCCCAGGACCTGGTGACGATGGTGGAGCAGCTGGCCAGGTTCCTGGGGGTGTCCTGTGACAAGGCCCAGCTGGAGTCGCTGATCGAGCACTGCCACCAGCTGGTGGACCAGTGCTGCAACGCCGAGGCCCTGCCCGTGGGCCGGGGTACGCGCCCCTGCCTCTGCCCCACCTCAGGGCCCCCTGCCCAGGTCTCACTTCTCCGGAGCCCTCTGCCGTGCGTGGGGCCAGGCCCCCTGGAGGCTGTTGTGACACAGGAGCCCCCCAGGCGTGTGCCAGGCTCTGTGGGCAAGTTGTTCTCAAGCAGGTGTCTCCCCAGATGGCCCCGCAGAGCAGCCGGGGGTGCCGGGCGGTGAGACCTCAGAGCCCGCAGCGGGCAGATGGATGCCCGGCCTCTGAGGGCGGTGGGAGGGCGTGAGGTCCCATGTGAGGCAGTGCCGGTGGCACAGTCAGGGGCAAGCCCTGCCGGGCAGGGGTGAGAGCAGGGAGTGCAGCCTCGGGCTGGCCGCTCCTGGGAGCTGCTCAGGGCAGGAAGCAGTTTGGGATGGAGGAGCTGCTCCAGGCCCGGCTGCTCCCCGTGTCCTCAGAGGCTGCCGTGGTTTGACAGGAGAGCTGGGGCAGGGAGCCCTGTGGGCCCAGGGGGTCGCCGTGGCCGTGGGGGCGCGGGGGAGGGGCCCCGCCTGCCGGTGTGGACCTGACGCCGGCTCCTGGTTATGAATCTGGAGCTTCCTCAGGAGACAGGTGTGCTTGAGGGAAGGGGAGGAGGTGCCAGCGGATCCACAGGAGACATTTGGGTGGTGGCGGGAGGGCCGGCTCCGTCACAGCTGCCGTGCCCTGGGGAGGGGCCCGGGGTCAGGCTCCGCTGGGACAGCCGTGCTCTCTGTGCAGAGGCAGCGGGGGCTGCTGGGCTGCCGGGCGGCTCTGAGGGTCGGGCAGTGCCTTCCGGTAGGGCAGTGGTTCTCAACCTTCCTGATGCCGCGGCCTCTAATCCAGCTCCTCATGGTGCTACCGTTATGAATCGTAATGTAAATATCTGTGTTTTCCGATGGGCAACGGTCCTCAACCTGTGGGTCGCCTAAGACCATCGGAAAACACGGACATTTACATTACGATTCATCACAGTACCAAAATCACAGCTATGAAGCAGCAAGGAAAACAATGTCATGGCTGGGGGGCACCACACACGGGGAGCTGTGTTGAGGCCGTGGCCTTAGGAAGGCGGAGAACCGCACCTGCAGAGCAGAGCCGCCTGCTTTTCCAGGAGAACCGAACCTCAGGGCCTCGGGTTTGTTTCCTGGCTGCATCCTCACAGTGTTTATGATTTATTTATTATTATTATTATTATTTTTGCTTCTTTTCAGTTTTGGTTTGCCGTGTTGTGACCTGTGGGTGTGCCCATCCCTGCGTGCCCCTGTGGCTCATGCGTGTGTCCCGGGGGCTCCTTCCGTGGCTTGGCCTTGTCCGGTGTGCCGTGGTTTTGCTTTATTTCAGTTCTTTGATTTTGTTTTCTTTTAGCGCATGGCCTCTGTGCTCGAAGACCTCCTTGCGCTGGCGAGCGTGCAGGCCTTGCGTAGCCAGCGGCATGCTTAGCTTTGGTTCATTACCTCCCTGTCTTGGTCCCAAATCCTGAACCAGGTGGGTGTCTCCTCTCTGTGCTCTCAGCGGCCTCTGCTGAGAAAAACACCCGGGGGGAAGCTGTTTGTAGTCGCCTGGTGCGCAGGCTCCTGATCTCCCCCCTGGGGTGCTGTGAACGTGCAGAACAGCCTCTCCTTTCCTCCCCACACGGACGTGATTTTCATGACCCAGAGAAACCAGCTTTGCAGGGGCGGTTTGGTACTTGAGGCCCTGCCGTGGGGCTGAGGGGAGTTTGCTCTGGTCTCGGAGATGCTGGGAGGGTCCTGAGCACACATTTCACTCCCCGAGGCCGTACCTGAACGCAGAGCGGCAGCTGGCGGTCACACTCCCCAGCTGGGAGGGCTGCCCCCCACTCCTGGCATCTTCCCGTCACCGTTAACATTTGATTTTTATTTGTTTATCCTCAACCAAGGGTATTTTTCCATTGATTTTTTTTCTCTTTAGGAAGAGTGGAAGGAAGGGAGGGAGTGACGGGGAGAGAGATAGAAGCATCGATGTGAGAGAGACACATCGATTGGTTGCCACCCACTGGTGCCCAGACTGGGACTGGGTGTCAAACCTACAATCCAAGTATGTACCTTTGATCAGGAATCCAACCTAAGACCCTTCAGTGCCTATGGCACACTCTAACCACTGAGCAATACCAGCCAGGGCACCATTAATATTTTTCCAACCAATGGTAGCTTTTGTAGTTAACAGAACAGGAAGGTGGGTGGGTTCTGTCTTCCAAGCCGCTGGTCAGTCTGGGGCTCTGACCTCCTGCCCAGCGGGCGGGCGGCCAGGGTCACGGTTTTTGCCTGCCTGCCTGGGCTGCACCCACCTCGGCCGGGGGTGGCCCTGACTGGCTTGGTGTTGAGCCGGGAGTCTCGCTGCCGCACACGCTCTGATCCAGGCCGGAGAGCTGCCGGGCACCACGACGGCCATCCCTCCCGGCGCACGCGCAGGCCTCTCACAATCTCCCTCCTCCACTGGGAGCTGCCCACTCGCCTCAGGGGACTGCCTGCAGGTGGCGTTCCTCTCTCACCTTCCGCAGAAGCGGGGGTGGGGGTGGGGGCCCTTGGTGGGGCTGTTGAGCCGTGAGTGGGGACATCCGGAGACCCTACTTCCCCACGGCCCACAGACCTGGCCACCTTCCCTGCACTGAGAATCGCACTCGGAGCCTGGGTGCGGGGTCCTCCCCCTAGCACCTCCCCTGCCCCCCAGTGGCCCGGGTGGCCTGCAGCCTCAGCTCCCTGCGTTCGTGGCGCTGGGCCACCCCATGGGGATAGGACACCAGGATGTCACTCGGGGAAGCAGGCCCAGCCTGCCTGGCTCAGATGCTCGGCCCCAGGCAGGCTCGGCGGTCTGTGGCTCCTGCCTGGCTCAGAGGGCCCGGCCCCCCCGGCAGGTTTGGGGTGCAGGCGTCCTCTGTGCGGGTGGCTGCCGGCAGCGCACACGTGCAGCGCGCTCTCTGTCTGCTTTCAGGGCGCGTGGGGCTGTGGAAGGACATTTTCACCGTGTCCATGAACGAGAAGTTCGACCTGGTGTACAAGCAGAAGATGGGGAAGTGCGACCTCACGTTTGACTTTTATTTATAAGCGCGGCCCCGGCCGCAACCCTGCATGCTCGCCGTCCCCAGGCGCCACCTGCTACGGTCCCGTTTGCGCATCCGCTCCTCGCTGGACAAGCCGGCCGCCGCGGGGCCAGGCTGGGAGGGGGGCCCGCAGGAGGGGGGGGCCGCCGCCCCGAGCGGCTGTCCCGCCTTCGGGTCTGAAGTCTGCCCGTGTCCGGTGCAAACACTGTCAGGATGGCCGACCCGTTCCGACGGCCGCGCCGAGAACACAGCCTGTCACACACGCAGCCCGACGCCTGCCTTTCACAGCCGGCGCTCCTGTGTTCTAGCGCTTTCCGCCCGAAACCGGGACACATCGGTACCAGCCAAACAGAAGGTCGTTTCCGGGGCCCGGGAGCGAGCCGCACCGGGCGGCGGGCAGAGCTGTTTATTTTTGTAGTTTCCTCCTGCGGGCGGCCGCTCCGTTCTCACCCGGGTCTGAGGAAGGAGAGGGCTCCATGAGGGGGGCCGTGAGGGGGGCCGAGGGGTCCCCCGTGGCGTGTGGTTCTGTCAGCGGGAAACCAGGCAGGGACTGCCCACAGGGCGTTCTCGGAGGGGAGGCCCCTGGGCCAGCGGGACGGGCCGAGGGACAGTCCACCGGACAACCACGCGGCTTTCTTTCGTCCCTGAAGCAGGAGCCCGCTGGGGCCGCCCCCTCATGGGGGCTCCGGGGCTCCGGGCCCCGCGGGCGCTCAGCCCTGTCCCCGCACCTCAGTGTCTTTGGGTCTTTATCCCTGTTCCTCCCCCTCCACCTGCCCCTCTCTGGCTGGAGGAGCGGAGACGGGGTGTCGGGGCCGGGAAGGGCCCTGAGGGTGTGGTCCGGGGCCGGACGAGCTGTCTGCCCTGCGCTCTGAGAGGTGTCACTGCTGGGCCCGCAGGCGCACGGGGTGCACGGGATCCCAGGCCCCGGTCTGCGTGCGCATCGTGAGGGCGGCTGCTGTCTGTGGAGTTTCTTTTCTATTTTTCTATTTCAGTACTGATGGACATGAGACCTCTGTGCTTGCTTGCATCTTTAATAAACACGTTCCAGGCCGTGTGTCCGGTGTGTGCTGCTGGGGGGGGGGGGGTCCCCACACGATCCCCTCAGCACTCAGGGCAGCAGGAGTGTGAGCCCCACAGACACGCCGTCCCGGGGCCTGGCCGCACAGGGCCACGGGCTGGGCCAGATCTGCTGTTCCTCTCAGACTCGCCTCACTCTGTGTCCGCCCCCTTTGAAAGCTTCTGAGAGGGAGCCTGAGAGAGATCTGGGGCCACGGGTGTCACCCTCGGCCTTGGGGGTCCCGTTGTCAAGGTGGTGTTCCCAGGGGCGGCGAGGTCGCACTGCGCTGCGGAGCCCCAGCCCGCCCTCCTCACCCTGCGGAAGGGAGTCAGAGCCGTGGTTCATCCGGTAAAGCTGGGCTTTCGGGAGCCGTAAGCCTGAGTCTCACGTGAGACCCCAGACTGCTGGTAGAATTGCCCTGGGCCCCAGGGTGGCTGTGGGGCATGCAGTCTCTGTGTCCCGGCCCACCTGCAACACCTAAAGCCAAAGGCGAGGGGCACCGGTGAGTGGGGAGGCAGGGAGGCGGTGCTGGTTTGTGGATCACCTCCTGGCCCTGACTGGCGGGCTCCTCACCTGGGGCGCCCACACCTTCTGCCTTGATTGCTCCGTCTCGGCTTCCCGGGCGTTAGGCCGGACGCAGCGGCAGCCCACACCTGCTCGGTCAGAGGGAGCTCGTGGGCTCAGCAAACACCTGAGCGCCTGCAGGGGGTGCTGCAGGCCAGGCATCACAAGCCCACGGGAGGGGGTGCAGGCCCAAGAAGAGTGGGGGCACCCAGCAGACAACATGCTGGCGGGAGAGGTGGGAGAGAGGAGGAAGTGAGGGCCCCAGCTCGGAGCTGGGGGGGAGAGGCCGGGCTGGCGGGCCAGCACCAGCCTGGGCGGGGCTTACAGGTCAGGAGAGTTGGGGTTTCTGGCAACAAAAAGGAAGCCTCGGAGGGTCTCATCGAGGGAAGGCGACCTGTGTGCATGCTGCTGCGTCCTGCCTGGCACGCGTCGCTGACAGAGCAAAGCAATCGGAGAAGGTGCTGGGCGCCCCCAGGTGAAGCCAGTGTGGAGCCTGGAGTGAGGGGGTGGGTGTCGGTAAGGGGTGAGTCGGGCCAGGAGGGCGAGAGGCCCCGGCAGATTGAATGCCACACAACAGCCTCCCCGGATTCTCGCGGGTGGCCACGGCAAGGGCCTGCGTGCCGGGTCTGACTTCCCAGACCGGCGAGATGCCCAGAGGACGCTGGGGGCCAGCCCTCCGTCTCCCCCCGCCAGGCGGGGGCCTCGGGCTCTCCTGTCATTGTTTTCTTCCAAGCGCCCAGTCCTTCCCCAGGGAGGGGGCCTCCCACACGACCCGGTGAGTCGCCCGGTGTCTCGGACGTGGGGCCCTGGTTATACAGCGGAGCTGACCTCCATCCTGCTCACTTCATCGCGGGGTCACAACAGAGCCAAGGGGCTTTGAAAACAAACGAAATCCACAGGCTGTAACTCTACCCAGCCCTGCTGGCGAGTGCCCCCTGGTGGCCGCGCCAGGGCTGACAGCGGCCTCATGGTTCCCAGTGGAGAGGTCCTGGCCAGGCGATGCCAGGCGATGCCATGGTTCCCAGTCGTTTCTGTCCTGGGGTGGGGCTGGAGGTGGGGGTACCCTTCTGGGCAGGGTGACCGCTGTTTGTAGTGGTGGGTGGTGGGGGCAGACCTCAGTGTCCACCACTCCACCACGGGCCTGTCCTGTAGAATGTCCCAGTCCTCCCGGTGTGACATCTTTCATTCGTACAAGCAGCCTTTCAGACTGGATGGCATGTTGGGCAGCTGGTCCCGCCTTGCCCAGCGAAGACTGCCCCCTGACATCCTGGCAGCTGGATCTCCAGCCCTGACAAGTTTGCCCCCTCTGGGACACCATTGGTGCTGGCAGCCCTCTGGCCACTCCTGCAGGGCACTCTGCTCCCCAGCCCATGGCTGCCCTCGTCTCTGGTCTCCCGGCCTGGGCCCACCCTCACCCGGTGAACCTCCCCCTCTGCTCCCCAAGTTCCTCTCTGGTCCCACCCACCTCCCTGCTCCGCCTCCCGCCCTGGACAGTGACATCCCGGGAGCAGAGCTAGGCTATGTCCATCTTTTCCCAGGCGGCAGGTGGGCACATAATCAATGCCTGACTGTTGAGTGGCATCTTTGTTGTTGTTAATCCTCACCGAGGATATTTTTCCATCTATTTTAGAGGAAGTGAGAGAGGGAGGAGAAAGGGAGGGAGGAGAGAGGGAGAAGGACAGAGAGAGAGACAGACAGACTGAGAGACAGAGAGACAGATTGGTGCAAATCCCCCATTCACCCCGACTGGGGCATGGGTCGAACCTGCAACCCTGATTCGTGCCCTTTACCAGGTGTCTGTCCTGCTCAATGCCAGGAGTGGGGCACAGCTGGGGTGCAGACGGGGCAGGGGCAGGGCCAGGGGGCCATGCCAAGTGGGAAGAAGATGACATACTGGAGTGGGCCAGGGGCCTGGTTCTCATTCCAGCCTGCCCCTTGTGGGATCACAGGGGACACCCTCCTCTTCATCTCCTAATGACCAGGTGTCCTACAATCCCGCCTAGATCCTGTGGCTCTTCAGTGGTCAAACTGCCTATTGGCTGAACCCAAGAGGAGTTGATGAACGGGGGAGGGGAGAGCCTGTGCAGTATTAGCCTTTAGCACCAACAGCAAAGAATTAGCCCCAGAAGCACCTGTCCAAGGGCGTGGGCCCGCACAGCCATGCCAAGGTGTGCTGAGCCTTCGCCAAATCTGCACGTCGCATGACAATTTCATCCTCACGCTTGGATCCCTGTAAGCTCGTTGGCGCCAGATGCCTGAGCTGCTTTCCCAAACCTGTCTCATCACCATGGACGGACGGAAGTCTGTGCTCTATTAACAGCAATCTTTAAAACGGGAATGCGACGTGTCTGAAACATGAAAACCAACCACAAGACGCATTCCCGGCCGCACTGCTCATCACAGCCCAAGCTAATGCCTAACTCTCGTCCTCAACTCGGGGACCATGTTCCCCTTCCCTGCTATTTAAAAACATGTTTCTGGTCAGTTAAAATTGACCTTCAATGTTATTTTACATTAGTTTCAGGAGTACAGCCCAGTGGTTACACATTTATATAATTTACAGAGTGGTCCCCTCGGTGAATCTCGGACCCACCTTGCACCGTACATACTATGACAATACTACAGGCCCGGTGCATGAAAAGTCATGCACTGGAGGGGGTGGCCCTCAGCCCAGCCTGCCCCTCTCAGTCTGGGAGCCTTTGAGAAGGAGGTGACCCGGTGATCAGGGGAAGGCAACGCCCCAGCACTCCTCTGGCAACCATCAGTCTGTTCCCTGTACCTTTTGTTGTTTATTTTGTTCTTTAGATTCCACATAAGTGAAATCGTATGGTATTTGCCTTTCTCTGACTAGCTTATTTCACTCATCATATTATCCTCAGGTCAATGGGCGGCAAACTGCGGCTCACGAGCCACTGAGGTTTGCCGCTCCATTGACTAATGAGTTTGCTGATCGTTGACCTAGACTCTTGATTCCAATAATTACAGGCTGTTGTTGTTCCTTGTGATTAAGCCCCTCTCCCAGTGGTGGGCAAACTCAATCAACAGAGCGGCAAACCTCAGCTAGCGAGCTGCGGGTGGTTGGTGAGTGGCAGTTTGCCGACCGCTGCTCTAGGTTCATCTGTGCTGCTGGCAAATGGTAAGGCTTCCTCTTCTTTCTTGTGGCTGAGTGGTATTCCACTGTGTAAATGTGCCACAACTTTTTTATCCAGTCATGTGCGGATGGACACGCAGGCTGCTTCCAAATCTTGGCTATTGTAAATAATGCTGCAATGAACGTAGAGGTGCATACGTCTTTCCAAATTAGTGTTCTAGATTTCTCCAGATAAATACCCACAAGTAGAATCCTGGGTCATAAGTAGTTCTATTTTTTAATTTTTTGAGATAACTTCATACTGTTTTCCACAGTGGCCGTGCCAATTTCTATTCCCATTAACAATGCAAGAGGGTTCCTTTTCTCCAATCCTTCCCAGCTCTTGTTGAGGGCAGCCATTCTGACTGTGTGAGGTGAGAGCTCACTGTGGCTTTGATTTGCGCCTCTCTGAAGATTGCTGCTGAGCATTTTTCCACATCTGCTGGCCATTTGTATGTCCTCTTTGGAGAAGCATCTACTCAGGTCTTCTGCCCATTGTTAATTGCCTTTTTTGGCATTAGGTGGTATGAGTTCTTTGCAGATTTTGGATTTGAACCCTTTTCAGATGTATCGTTGGTAAATACCTCAATCAGCAAGCTTTTTGTCTTGCTGATCCTTTCCTTTCCTGTGCAAAAGCTTTACAGTTCGATGTCGTCCCACCTGTTCCTCTTTTGTTTCCCCTGCCTGAGATTATCTCAGAAAAAAACATTGCCATAAGAGATGTCAGTTTATTACCCATGTTTTCTTCTAGGAGTTTTATGGTTTAGTGTGTTACATTTAAGTCTTTCATCCATTTAGAGTTTATTCTTGTATGTGGTATAAGAAGGTGTTTCAGTTTTTTTTGCATGTAGCTGTCCATTTTTCCCAACGTCATTTATTTAATACACGGTCATCTTTGCCATAGATTGACCATAGAGATGAGGGCTTATTTCTGGGCTCTCTATCCAATTCCATGGATCTATGTGTCTGTTTTTATGCCAGTACCATGCTGTTTTGATTACTATAGGCTTGTAGTATAGTTTGCCACCAGGTAGCATGATACCTCCAACTTTGTTATTCTTTCTCAAGATTGCTATGGATCCCTATTATTTCTAAATGCTGCCAATTCATGTCCAGCCCTGCCTCAAGATGGCCTTAAAACTCAACCTCCAGGAGGCCGCCGTGAATGAATCTTAGCTCACTGACGCTGCCAGCCTGTAGGTACCTAGAACTCCATTTTTACCAAAAACATTAGGGGGTGGGGAATTGCCATTTGTGGCCAACAGACTGACTTCCAGTGGCTGGTGGCTACCTCGGCC